TATATATATGCATATAATCTATTCTTAATGAAATTACTGTAGAGAATCTACAAGGCCCATGTCATTCTTGAGATGAGGTGATTCTAAAAGTTAAGATAGTTCCTCATAGAAGAAAAGTTTTTTGAAATAGGTGTTTATGAACTGTTTAACTGATCAATGGCGAAGACCTCTCATTTTTAATTGACACAGCAATTGTACATACTCTTGAGTATGGTGTCATAACTCAGTAATATCCACACTATATAATGATCAAATGCCTCCGTGTTTGGTATCATTTCATCATGCTTGTTCTTCAGCCTCTTCTAAGGTATAATATAGTATAGACTCTAGTCAGTCTACTGGGCTTTAGAACACTAGAACTTGGAAAACTGGTGGCAAAGACTTTGGATAATAATCATTGTCATTGAGCTTAGCCTGCTACACTAAAGCTGTGCTCACCACATGCTGTGTGAGATGCAGGATGCTAGGCAATCGTTGAGTTTAGGGGACTCGGGGGCTGAGCCCTGAATCCCTGGTCCTCATCAGCCTTCATTTCTGACCTCTTTCATTTGTTCTTCCTGTTTCCTTTACTTGAAACGTACTAAATCTGTCTGTAGCATGAACCTTAAAAGCTCTTATTAATAAAATCAAACCTGTGGCCAGTTATTGTGGTGAGCTGGAAGATCAGAGAACCAGAACAAGCCATAGCTATCTCGCCTGGCCAACTTCTCAGCTGGTCTTGTTTCCTCAGACTGGAAGCCTCTGTGTCCTCATATCCGAATGGCTCTCAGCTGAACTGTGCAGCTAGAAGCCCAAAAGCTTAACCAGCCAAATGCATCTAGTTTCTGGTCCTCACACCTTATATACCTTTCTGCTTTCTACCACCACTGCCTGGGATTAAAGGCTCGTTTTCTGGGATTAAAGGCGTGTGTCACCATGCCTGGCCATTTCCAATGTGGCCTTGAACTCACAGAGGGATTTCTGTCTCTGGAATGCTAGGATTAAAGGTGTGAGTGCCACCATTTTCTAGCCTTTGTATCTAGTGGCTGTTCTGTCTCTGACCCCAGGTAAGTTTATTAGGGTGCACAATATTTTGGGTAACACAATACCATCACATCTGTCATTGCATCCATTCAACTGAGATACTGCTCATGGCTCATGATCCTTCTCAACAATGTGAAGAAGCATGATCTTGCTCATTCTCTAGTTTAAATGAGGGAAAACAACCTTCTCATAACAACCCATTTTCACACTTAATTTATTTAGTTTGAATAAAGAAAAAGGCAAGAACACACTTCTGAAATCCAGTTACTAAACACGGGCAAAATGTTTCATAGAGATTTTTGAGATATAATTTATATATTGTAATCTTCACCTACTAGACTTTCATGAATATACAGACTTGTGTGACCATTATCACCATTCAGTCATCAAAGTTTTTCAGTTCGTTTCAAATTTCCCTCCTCCCCATCTTCTGTCACTCCCGATTCCTAACACTGGAAAAACTGCTCTGAAATCTGTCTTTATAAATCTGCTGTCTTCTGGGAATTTCATAGATGGGTCATACTGTGTGAAGACTTTGATGTTGTTTCCTTTCACTCAGCATAGCATTACGAGGTTAACCAATCCTGTCACCTAGATCAGGCATTTGATTTCTTCAATCTCTGAAGAGTGTCCCATTATAAGCATAGACTATGTTTTGTTGTTTTGGTGAACATTTGGACTTCCTCCAGTTTAGGGCTAGGATGAATAAGGCTGCTGTGAATATCCACATACAAGTCTTTGTGGGAATTGTGTTGAATTCCTCTTAGACAGAATCTTAAGAATAGAAAACACGAATTAGCTGTGTGACAAGGTTGTTACAGTTTCCTTCACAAGGAGTTGCCAAAATCTTTCCATGGTGGAATCTTTTTGTATCTCCTTCAGCAATGCATGGGAGTTTCTATTTTACAAAATTTTTACTTGGATTTTTTTTTTTGCTTTCCTGGTTATAGGCATTGAATATATAATAGAATCATTTTCTGGTCCAGCTTTGCATCTCTTTAATAGCTAGGAATATCGAGCCCCTTTAATGTACTGATTAGCTATTTGTGTATCTTCGAAATAGGCTTTTTTGTCTTCTACCTGCAATTGGGTTGTCATGCTTTTATAGTGTGTGAGTGTGTGTATGTGTGTGTGTTTGTGTATGTGTGTGCTCTTCTCCATAATGTCATTATCTTGTCCCAGTTTCAGATACCAATTTATAGGCTTGAAGAACTGAACATGCTAGAAGTACCACAGGTAGTAGATGTCAGAACCCATGTAAGAGTTCTAGACTACCCAAGGACAAAGCTTATGTTCCTACTAATATTGATAAACAGCCAGCAGAATAAACAGTTCTCACCTCAAATAACACAAGAGATGGTTTATTCTGGAGCCAAATATGAAGTGACCTGGCCCAGGAACACAGATTCAGCATTACCCAAGTACCACATTCCAACATGGTAAAAGTTCCATAAAATTTTATAGTAACAGAGTAATAAAAATTATAAGTCAAGACACTTCAAATACATTGGTGGAAACATCAATTATGTAGGTTACAGAAAGCAGGAAAATCTCATCTATAGGCCTCAGATGCTAGCCGACAGCATTCTTAGCCTTTTGGTTGGTGAAAGCTAGTGGTCTATTTGAACATTCCAAAACACTTACCTAGTGATCACCAATATGCTAGGTCACATGAAGAAGAGGGCAATAGGTATTTATTAATGCTGGTAAAGATGGCTTATGATAGTTTGGGTTTGCAACAGTTAACTTCTCCATATTGTTGAGGTCTAATAGCTTTATTCCAGGGATTCTCACTCACAAAACCCTTTCCTGTCACATATTTATTTTCACATTGAATATTAAGCTTCCTAAGTTTTACATATACCAATTCTCATTTTGCCATCATAATCTTGGGAAAGTGCTTGCTTACTTGAGGATCATGTTATGAAACACCCATTGATATAAGCATTGATGTTTATGCAGAGAGTAATGGCAATACTCCAATGTAGATGGCATATCACCTCACTACATTTATACCAACTTAGACTTGCCCTGTGAAGGAGATATTTAGAAATGGCACATTATCCACCAAAGCCAGCTACTCCAGATAAACCTAGACTACATTAGTTACTATGGTGACTCAAGAAGACCTTTTATCTCATCTTTTATTATCAAAGATCTTTCAGGCAACATAAAGTAAAAGTCAGATAAAGACTTCCAGAAAGAGATAAGAGAACTTGACTTGGAAATCAGTGTCTTGGTGGCGGTTCTTCTGCGACTCTGCCAGCCACTGGCTTTCTCTAACTCCTTATCTGTAAGACGACAGGCATAGCTTGGGTCATTATCAAGGTTTCTGTCCCCTGCTAGCCTTTGTCCAATTAGACACTAGTGTAGTGTGCTGCTCAATGACACATCTGTAACTCTCCTTGTCTGCAGACTGCAGTGAAGATCTGTTTCACTGCCACACAGGCAAGTGTCTCAACCAGAGCCTCGTGTGTGATGGGTATGATGACTGTGGAGATCTGAGCGACGAGCAAAACTGTGGTAAGTAGCATTGATTCCTTAAAGGGTTTTATTAGGGACCACAGGTCTTTAGGACCAAGAACACATATCTGTCTGTTCACCAAATGAATAGAAGGTTGCAAATCAAAACAAACCTTCCCTTTTCAGAAAGAAGACTTTATCTAACCACTGGTCTGAGCCGTGTCTTCTGCATCAGCACCCTACTTCTAACGGTCATCCTTAGGAAATGTTAAGGAAGTAGAGTGGAAAGACAATGGGATTGTTCAAGTGCTAGTGGTTTTCTGGGTCCTGTTCTGTTTATCCGCTGGCTACCGCAGGCTTATCTTTGGATTCTGAGCTCCTGAGCAAATCTTTGCTGAGAGATATATTACAAAGTATAACATGTGACCAAGGCTCCTACCCCCCACAGCATATGACTTTAGCGACTCCCTGTGTGATATATTCGCCAAAGGTTAGGTGAAAGATTGGTTTTATGTGCAAATGCTGATTTCTTGTTTTTCCAAATGTAAGCCTTCCATTGTAGGAACATATTTAATTCTGCATCATGTCTTTTGAATCTAAACCAGCAAAATAACTTTTGCTTATTGATCGTTATGGCTTGATATTAGCTTTATACTTTAGGTAATATATTATTGACAATAGGGAATTTGTAATATGTACCAAAGGGCAAGCTGAAATGAAGACAAATATTGGACAATGGTCAACATTTGAGACTATTTAAAGGGATGCTAGAAAGGATTAGAGGGTGAGACAAAGAATGTCTTGGAGTGGGAAATTTGGTAGTTTCTAGGAGTATTGTCTAACTTCCCCTTACTGCATCCATAAAATATTAAAAACTCTAGGTGTACAATCCACTAACTAATTATTAGATATACATAGGACTGTCTAGACTTGGGACAAAGAATGGGAGACAATTGCCATCTTGTCCATCCCAGAATCTAGTGTGAAGAACCTTTACAGTTCATCTAGTTACAGCCCTTGCTTTTCCAATGAAGTAGCAACTAGGAGGTTGGGAAAGTGCCATAGTATGTGGAATTTAAATGATGGGTATGTTAGTAGGTAGTGTACATGTGTAAAAAAGGATTGTTAGTACCAAAAGCCTCTGAAGATAAGCAGATGTTATAAAGTCTATGCTTTCAAGATTTCTTCATTAGATAGCAGAAATTATAGTCCTCCCTTGGACCAATCTCTGCTCTGCCCTCTGTCCCCAATGGACTGAGCATGGGTGGATCTCCTGGTTCCCACCCAAGCATCCTCTCTTGTGGTTTCCTCTTTTCCCCACACCACGCCTTCCATATTCTCTGACTTACTCCTCTACAATACCTTTTATGATCCACTGGTGCTCAGAAGGATATGGCAATGGCCACATTCTTGGAGACACATGAAACTTTCTCATTATTGCATTTGCTATTTGTGAACCCTTATCTTTCATAGAACTGTTATATTTATGTTACAGTACCCCTCAGAGAAAAGCAGTCTATGAATTATTCACTTTAAGAGAGGAAACTTGCTACTTAGTAAGCTCCTCCACTTGCTACATTCCAGGAATGTGTGGGTTGGGACAGAGTATATATCCAGATGCAAAGAAATCATAAAAAATAATAATAATAATGGTTTTCCTTCCTTGCCTAGCAGTTCTTTCAAACATGAACTATAGATTAGGATAATCCAATAGAAAACCCAGGCTTAACATCAGGAGGGATGCCATAAGAAGAAGACACTCATCTTTCCAGCTTGCCAGAGAGATGTTGTAATTCTTAGAAACACAGCAGGCCTGTTACAGACACATCAATCAGCTATCTGCATCCCTCGAAGCTCGAAGTTTACTTCTGTTCTTTTGACTCACTGTAAAGTTGTAGTTTTTTTTTTTCCTAAACAAAGGAAGAGAGACATGCCAACAGTTAGGACACCTGTCCTGAGAAACAGATGGGTCTTTGCCCACAGGAGTGTGGACCGTGGGGCATGGCCTGTCGGAAGGTAGCATGCGAAATTGGAGCCATCCTAGGAACATCAGTGACAGAACTGAAGCAACGGAAGTAGATTCTCTTCAACTGGAACTGTGGGCACACATCTAAGTGTTTCCAATGTCCGTTCTCCCCGACTTCATGATTTTTTCCTTTTCTCTAGATTGCAATCCCACAAAAGAGCACCGCTGTGGGGATGGGCGCTGCATTGTGGCTGAGTGGGTGTGTGATGGGGACCACGACTGTTTGGACAAGTCTGACGAGGTCAACTGCTGTGAGTGCCCTCCCGGCCCCTGCCACCGGAAGTCTCATTTTGCTTGTTTTTCTTTTGGTTCCTGTTTAGACTTGTACAGAAACCAAAGTCCGTTATGTCAACAGCACTCAGGGAGGATGGTTGCTTAAGCTTTGGTTCTTTCGATCTGATTCTGTCTTCCGTCTATGAAAGTAGCATTCAAGAGGTGTGAGAACAGTATCAATACAGCTCTGACCTCAAACCCCTCTCCTCCAAAGTTCAAGTTTAAATTGGCTGATCTGGCCCAGCAGTGTCTGCTTTTTCTCTTGCTGCTCCTGTATCCTTCATGTGTCTGGGAGTTTTCCAAAGGCAATTCTTTTCCCAGAGACCAGGGAGTCCCCCTTTCTCTGCAAATTATATACGAGCAGCCAAGCCTCCAAGCATGTTCTCAGGGGCCGTTTGTGGGAGAACGCGGGAGAAGTGCCAGAGAGAAGGCAGCCTGTGCCGATCCTATAGCAACACAGCAAGAGTGTGATAGTGATTAGCATTTTACAGCAGGCTATGTTTCTAGATACATGAAAACTTGTTTTCACATCAACCTATAACAAGCATGCTTGTTAACCATGTTTTCCCGCTTGGAAAACATGCTATCCCTCTGAAGACACAAATGAAAAAAGCCAATAGTAACAGTTACATCAACTGTTGAAATAGTACAACTGACCTGAACTGATTAAAATGACGTATCTCACTCTGTATATTTGAACAAAACCTTCTAGTTCACTTGGTAGAAAGGGTTGGCACACAATTTCCCCGTGGTGTCTGCATTGACATCAGGACCCTGCGTGAATGTCACAGTCTGAGGATGGTCAAGCTCTTTCTATGGAAACGCGTGGTACTGTGCTTAATCCGTCCATGTCTTCTGTGCTTTAAAGTAATTCTAGTTCATGTATAAAACATAATGCAATGTATGTGCTCTGTATATAGTTGTTATATTGAATCGTTAAAGAAATAATAATAAGAAAAATACTCTATACATGTTCAGTACAAATATATTTGCCCCAATATTTTTTTTTATTTGTAATTAGCTGGATCTGTAAACTTAGAACCCATAGATATTGCACATGAAGTTGAATATTTACATATCTTATACTTAGAGGCAAAAATAGAAATGTAGATAACACAGTTTATATTTCGACATATGAAAAGCTGTATAAAAAGCTTCATAATCATGGTACCTGGCTTTCTCTTTCCTTGCTTAATTTGAAGTCCTTGCTCTGTAAGCCAATGGGACAGAATGGCTGTATTAAAGTACTGGGGAGAGCAAGGCGCCAAATGAAACACATGTGGTGAGGACCCTCCATTCACCAAGTGGGTCTTAATGTTGGATGGCAATTCAAGGAAGACTCGGGTCACATGACACATGGGTTTCTGATGCTTTAAAATGCAGGAACTATAGAATTTTGAGAAATCACAAGAATCAGAAAGCTAAAGGTAACCAGACACCCCTCTTTCAAATACCAGTAATAAATAAGTTAGACACTGAATACTCACTGCGTAGTATGTTTTCTGGGAGTTCTTTCAAGCACATTATTTCACTGGGTTGTTAAAAGGAAGCTGTGGAATGCAAAGTCTGGTGTAGAGTCAGACAAGCTTGTCCTCATAGTCTTCCTCTACCTCCCAGCAGCCTTGTGACTTAGGAAGAAGTCGCGTTCTCTGGACTTCAGTTCCCTCGTCTGTAAAAAACAGCTCTAACATCTGTCTCAAAAAGATATGAACTTCATGTATATGACACACCTATCCCAGTTCTTGCCACAAAACACACCCCTTATAAACTGCAATTTTTTAAAAATCATTGCCAGTATCATTGAAAAGCACTCAGTTCTTGATAAGTGCTCTCTGATAAGGAAGAGAAAAGTTTAGAAAGAAGGAAAACCCTCCATTCCAGAAATTCTTGGAATGAGGGGGAAAAAAGTAGTGCTACATTTGAAATAAAGCAGTGCCACATCCATTTGAGTACCCATGATAATCATTTGTTGGTGGTACTTGGTAAATGGGCCTCATTTGTATGATCAGTAAGAGGCATCAATAAATAAGGTGACTATCCTTCCGGCCTCCCCCAGCTTGTCACAGCCAGGGCCTGGTGGAATGCAGGAATGGACAGTGCATCCCTGGCACCTTCCAGTGCGATGGAGACGAAGACTGTCAGGACGGGAGTGATGAGGAGAACTGCAGTGACAGTGAGTATGTCCCCAGGGTCCCCAGGTCCCCAGAGCATCCTTGGATTGGTGGATCTTTCTCTGGGGGAACAAAACAGAGCATCTGGAAGTTGCTTGGGCAGGATTTCCATACAGATGATTCCAGATCTCCTGGTCACCTTTTCTCTTGGTAAATATGGAATGCTTAAGCTGTACAGGCTGGAGACTCATTCCCAAGGCTGCAGGTTAGAGATGAAGCCACATGCGCAGGTTCTGTTGCGTCTTCTATGGGGAAAACCTAATAAAGAGAAAACTTCAGTGTGTAGCATGCAATTAAATGTGATTAGATCCTCCCCAAAGAAAGAATTGGCTCATGAAATTAAGTGTAACTGCATCCTAATTTGGCTATGTTCAGAGAATCAGTTTAATGTTTCCCATTGCCAAGCAACAGACTTAAATATACTTTAAAGGAAGAACATAAAATCCATGCATGAAACTTAAACAGAAAAATGGAAATTAAGCATGTTGGGTTTTAAATATGATCATTTCTGTAATAAAAAAGCAAGTTCCACACTGATTATTTTATGATCTGATTTGTCTGAAAACCTCCCAGCATGGGGTTGACGGAATACCCCCAAACTCACTAACTCCCCGCCCTTATCAGTTTGTATGGTATCAGCTTCGCACAGTGGCAATGGGCAGGGGTATTGCACCCTGGTGCTGAGCTTCAAGCCCCAGGCTACTGCTTGCTATCTGGGTGGCTTTAGGTGAGTCACTCCACTTTTCTAGGTCACAGTTTCCACATCAGCTCAGGTGATGGTAAGTCTTGTGTGGGACAAATGCCTGGTAAAAGCTAAATAAATATTGCCTGTTGTTACACGGCTAACATGGGGTCATTTTTTTCTCCTGGGAATCCAGTCTAACAAAACAGCTGACGGAGCTCGCAGTCTCATGAGATGGGTAGGCTTACGCTCGGTATCCAATTGTGTAGTACAGGCTGCAGAGAACTCAGGGTGCTGTGCTTCTGTATGCCGGGCCAAGAGCCCCCAGAACAAAATTTATGATGGAGATGCACTAACATGTCAAGCTGAAGAATGAGAGGCAGTCTCAAGGAAGAGGGGAGCTCAGAAGAACATGGTAGACCCACAGCACCACATGACACCACATGGTCTTGAAGTAGGAAGTGGAAGGTGTGTGTAGGCTACAGAGTGAAGACCATGTTGTGAGTTTTTTCTACAGCTTCTTTCTGTTGCTTTTCTGCTCAGAAAGTCCTTCTCTCCGTCTCATGATAACTTACCCCACCTGTGCAGGCAGCTTGGCCCTCCTGACTTAGTCTGCTTCAACTGTTCTTGATAAACACCTCTGGCAAAGCCGTGTTTTCACAGCCTGGTGAGGTGCTGCTCACGACAGCGTCCGTGTTAGACTTTGAGATTCACAGAGGTAGCCATACCTGTTTGTGTAGCTGGAAGTTTTCCTGTGTCCCGCTCTGTCCTGCAGCTGCTCAGACCCAAGTAAAAACACAGAGGCTTATATCAATGATGAATTGCATGGCCAGTGACTCAGGCTTCTCGCTAGCTAGCTCTTATAACTTAATTTAACCCATTTCCATAAATCTATACTTTGCTACATGGCTTGTGGCTTACCAATATCTTTACATCTTGCTTCTTCTGGCAGTGGCTACCATGTCTCCCTGCTTTCTTTTCTCCTCCCTTTGCTTTCTTTTCTCCTCCCTTATCTCTCCAGTTTGAATGTACCACCTCACCTTATTCTGCCTCACCATTGGCCAAACAGCTTTATTTATCAACCAATCAGAGCAACACATTTTCACAGCATACAGAATGACATCATCCATCACTTTTGTTTTTCAGTATTTGGTTCCTGGCTTGTCATATAGGCTTGCCACAAAGCAGGCCTTTAATATTTGCTGAACTATTGAATGCATGATGTCCTAAAATGTCACAAACATCTTACACTTATGAAAAATGTTTAAAGTTGCCTTGGGGAAAAAATTTGCCCCCAGTAGCTTTAAATGACAAGAGTGACAAGAGTGACATCATTTCTGCAAGGTGACAATATACAACATTTTCACACTAGTGGGACTGGAGGAATAATTCCAGTATAATATGCAATGCCTTAGAAATATGGATAAACATGATTGTATATGTACGTATATGTCTGTTTATACTCAAGAGTGCCTTGCAAGATATTCTGGATTCCAGATGGCATGTCTGAAAGTAATTGACCATAATAATGGGGGAAAGATGGAAAGAGAATGGGTAGCAATTTATGACTTTATCCACTTAATCTACAAATGACCAGGAAATCAATGGCAAAAGCAGTTTCCTCTCCACACACCTTAAAGAGAAGCCATCAGGGCAAAGGCTGCTGCCACTTTGGAAAGAAGAAGCCCTGATCTTAGTCATTAGAGCTCAGCTGACGATATTTTCCAAGGATACTAAAAGGATGGGTAGCAGCTGTGAAAGACTTGCACTATGATACAGGATCCTTGAAATAGAGCATTCATGTTGCTACCCTGTTGTTTACCAGGGAAGGCATTTTCCTTAGTCTGGAGAGTTGGGGGCAAATGAGTGTTAAGACGTCATTTACAAGCCAGAATGTCAATATCTCTAGATTACCTTCTTGCCCTTACATCGTTTGCACTTTATTTTGTGAAGTTTAGGCACGTTTGTAAAAACAGAGTACGCTTTTCCCCATTGGAAGCAACCATCTGTTGTTTTCTTTAGTGTGGTTTGCCTCGTTTTTGATAATTTGTATGGAATTCTTTTGGCCACTGGGCTGTATTTAGTTGGTGGGATGATGAACCCAGAACATACTTATTCCATATGTGTTCAATATTTGGGGCGGGGGGAGGGAGGGCGCGGAGACTGGAAGGGAATTAAAGCTGTGTCACCCTACAGCTCCAGGAGGCCTTCTTAGTCTTTCAGATGGAGGGTTGGGATTGGCAGGTAATGAAAGCTGCTGGGCTTTTCCCCTTCCACAGGTCAGACGCCATGTCCAGAAGGAGATCAGGGGTGCCTCGACAGTTCCTGCCTCGATTCATGTGCTGTTAGCTCTCCGTGCGACTCAGACAGCAGCCTGAGGAACTGTAGTAAGTACAACAGCTGACAGGGACAATCTTTGTGACAGACTGTATGTTCAGCCTCTTCCTACCTCATTGCCATAAACTACTGAAGTTTGGAATCACTCCAAAAAAGTATATATATATTTGCTTTTTATTTTGTCCAAAGGTTGCATGTGGTAGCAGAAAAAGAACCAAAATGGTCTTCATTAACTAAATAAGAAACAAATGTGTGGCTGTGGAGGGGCCATCAATCCACATTGCTTAATGTCATTACCACCACTTTCAACTCAACATCAGCTCCTATAAATTATTTCCATGGCTCCATCTGCAGGCAGATGTTATCTTTCTTCTTTTTAAAGCACAGCTTCCAAACTTCATCTAAGAAGCAGATAGGAGATTCATTGAAACAGTCACGTACAGTTTGGGCAGTCTATTCTCGCAGTAGATGCGTTCTCACTCTTCCAGATACATTGGTGAATGATAATGGTCTGGGAATCATTGCGTTAATATGTTTCAGGGACAGTGCAATGACTCCAATGACAAAAGCAGGTGGCTGTCTCTAAATTATTTTCCAGTGAAGATTAGCTGAGGAAAGACTGAACGGGCACGATTGAGGAGTATCAGATAAACTCCCGTGGGAAATTTTAACTGTACTAGAAAATTTCCAAAGACTGATTTTCAGAAATGATTTCTTCCTCCTGAACTCAGTTAGTATACCACACTCACTTTTTTCATGTGGGGTAGTTAATTGTTTGTTCTATCTTCAGCTTGGGGTTAAAAACTTAGAAGCAGGTCAGTCAGGTTTCAGATATCAAAAGAGTTCCTTCCTATCATGTACCCTCTCCATGAAGGCCATCAGAAGCTTTGAGGCAGTAGACAGAGGTGGCAATGGGCTTCCAGTGGCCTTGTGACATTTGAGGTAAATTTTATCTCTGACTGGGATATCCCAGGATATCAATGCTCATGATTGCTAGGAAACTATATGGCTACATGGAAACCCCTCATCTCTCCGTAATTCTCATATGAGGGGACTGTTTCTCTTATGTATTATATTAGCCCATCTTTTTGTTGCTAATGATGCAATACCACAGACTAAGTAATTAACCAAGAAAAATTGTTTATTTTGTTCACAGTTCTGGTTCAAGTTTGAGGGGCCCCATATGGCCATGTTCTTTTTACTGCTAGAAAATCAGAGTAGCATAAGACATCTATGAAGGCACAAAGGAGATATCCCCTCCCTTAGCAAAGTCCCCACTGCTCAGTCATGGACTCATCTCTGATGTTCTTATCACTTCCTACATGCCACTTAGAAGCATCATGGTCTGATTACGACTCTTCAGTCTTAATACCTCACAACGGGATTAAGCTGCATGATTTCAGCACAGATGCATTGTAATGCCATATGAAAGAACAGCAGATATTAGTCTGACCATTAAGAAAGCATCAGCAGGGGCAAGGGACACAATTCAGATTGTAGAGTGCTTGCCTATCATGCATGGAGCCCTGGCTTCAATCTTTAGCACCCACATCCACTCATGTCCATAATCCCAGCTCTTAGTATGCAGTGGCAATAATATTAGAAGTTTAAGGTCATCCTTAGCTACTTGGTGAATGCCTGGTATATATGAGACATTGTTCCCCAAATAATTTTTAGTAATAAAACCAAAAGAAGATACACTGACCACTTTCCCTCTCAGCCAGCCATATCCAAACTACAGATTTGCATATAAATATATATGTGGATGTGTTCTGGATTCATTGATTCTATCATTTTGTTTTGCTTATATCACAATCATGTCTGGATCTTTTTTAAAGAATGATTTATTTTTATTTTCAATTTTTGGATGGATAATTTCGAAGTGTGACAGTCATGTCGAAGATATGTGCTCAGCATTAAAGTTTTCAGTGCTGTTTGACATGGAATGACACTGTTTAGACCAAAAAATGTAGACAGGGAAATGTTAGCCCATGCCACATATGGGGAGAAGGGAAACTGAAAATCCTATTTTTCTCTACCTTTGAAACACTTCAAAATCTAAAAATTTAGGGGCTAACCATACAGCTCAGTGGTTAAAGCACTGGCTGTTCTTCCAGAAGACCTGGGTTTGATTCCTAGTACCCACGCGGTGGCTCATAAACATCTGTAACTCAGTTTCCGGGGATCCAGTACCCTTTTCTGGCCTCTGTGGTCACCACATGCACACAGTGCACAGACATAGAGGCAGGCAGAACACCTATACATATTAAATATAAATAAATAAATAAATAAATAAATAAATAAATAAATAATCTCAATTTTTCCCCCAAAATCTAAAATTTAGAGTACAGTGTCGTCTTACAAAAAAGAATCATAAGAAGGGTGAGCAGCTGGCTCTGGCTTATACATTAAGCAGAACTTGCAGTAGGTGCACAAGGTCCAGGCATACAACAGGAACTGTCCTCTTTAAGGGAGAAAGCAGAAATCATGTCCCTAGCTTACGGGAGGTAACTTCCAGCATGGAGGATGCCTTGTAGTTTCCTGACTCACATTTACCATGTTGTTCTTTCCACATATGCTTTCCCTAGCATCTCCCCAGCTCCTTGGTTCTCCATGCACATCTCCACTAACTCCTTCCCATACGCAGCAAACACTTGAAGACCATGTATTCCGAGTGTCAGACACTGGGCCAGGTGTTGGTTCCTCACTCCTCCATTACTGAAACCTAACTTCCAGCTACCTCTCAAGGAGCCCCTGGGTGGATTATGTACGTGTGTTTGGTTCTCTGTACAGATGGTCAAGTAGCACATCCTCTTGTAAATCTGTTCACAGACAAGGAACCGTGATTATTTGACAGTGCTTACCATCATCGACATCAATGATGTTTCTCTTCTTAGCCCTTACTTCTCTGATGATGTTTATTTTTTCCAATCGGAGCTCACAAAGGGAATAATAGATTGGAAGCAAGTTTTTCGGAGCAAAGCTGCTTATTTCTTCCTCCTCTTTTCCTTCCCTCTTTTTCTTTCCCTTTTTCCTTTTTTTTTTTTTTTTTTTTGTGACAGAGTCTCACTATGCATCCCCACATAGCCTGGAACTCTCTATGTAGACCTGGGTGGCCTTGAACTCAGAGATTTGCTGAACTTTGCCTTCTGAGCCCTAGGATTAAAGGCACATACCACCACACTTCTTTTTCTTGTTCAGTGTAAAATTATACCTTAGAATATGGAGGGAAAATGAACGAGTAGACACACAGATGATGAAATATATCACTAAAGCTCATTACTTAGCATTGTGAACAGTACTGTTTGGTATTGAGGTTGTGAGTAAAGAAAGTTGATATTCGTTTTACAGAGCCAACACTTCACCAAACTTTCTTGGATTCTAATCTCTGAAGACACTAGTGCTTGCCATCTCATAAAAGTTACACAGCTCTTCAGTGGTCTCTCACGATGCATTGGGTGGGATGCAGTCCTCAGGATACTTTAGATGACTTCAGTGGCTCCAGTGTGAAGCCAAGGTTGACAATGACTGCTCTAGTGGTCAGCTTGTGACTTGGCTATGTGGATTTGTGCTCCTCTCCTCTGACATTGGATGGGGAAGATTTTTATATTTCTCTGTATATTTTATTTTTCACTAGAACAGTGGTTCTCAACCTTCCTAATACTGCAACCCTTTCAAAAAGCTCCTCATGTTGTGGTGACCCCCAACTGTTGCAAAATAGAATATTTGTTTAACTATATAAAGATGTTTTACATTTGTCTGGGTTGCAGGATATTTATTTAACTATGTAAAGATGTATTGCTTTTATTTATTCTGCATGTGTTTAACTATGTAAAGATTTGTTGCTATTTTACCTTGCCTGCCTAAGGCACCTGATTGGTCTAATAAAGAGCTGTATGGCCAATAGCTAATTAGAGGAGGAATAGGTGGGGCTGGCAGGGAGAGAGAAAAAGGGAGTCAGCCTACAGGGGTGGGGTGGGATGGGGGTGGGCAGGCAGTCCACCAGAGTCTAACTAACCAGGGGCAGGCCAGCCAAACATGGAGGAAGCAGGAAAGCAGGATGGACAGTATGTAGATGAGGTAAATGAGTCTCAGGGCAGCACATAGATTAATAGAAAGGGGTTAATTTAAGTTAAAAAATACTATTTAGAAACAAGCCTACGCTAAGGCTGAGCATTCATAATCAATAACAAGTCTCTGCATCATGATTTGGGGGCTGGCAGACTAAGAAAGTTTGTTATGCCCAACCATAAAATTAGTTTCATTGTTCTTCATAACTGTAATTTTGCTACTGTTATGAATCATAATATAAATATTTGTGTTTTCAAATGGTCTTAGGTGACCCCTGTGGAAGGGTCATTTGACCCCCAAAGGGGTCACGACCCACCTTGGGGACCACTGCACTAGAGAAAGCCTGTGGCTTACTTTTCATTACCACAAATGCCTAACATTACAAACAAAAACCTCAAGTTTACATCGCTGCGCATGAGACAATGTATTGAAAGGCTCAATGCATCAGAGGAATAGCTTTGAAGAGTCTGGATTATTCTGTCCATGCCTCCCTGGCATCCTGACATTTATCTCTATGCCCTGCAGGGAGCGAATTGCAGACATAGCTTTGCATTGGGGGTAGGAGTAGAGATGATGTTTTTATAGCACAGAGAAACCAATCTATCACTTTCCTGTCATAGGATGTAATCCAGGAACACGAGCTGGAAAGAATCATTCCCAGGGTTATCTATTCCTCTTTGTACTTACGTTCATCAAGACACCATGAAGCCTGGTGTGGTTGTCATGTCCCTGGGTATTTTCCTGTGTTCCTGATGTTCCAATTCCCTTTACTTCAACATGGCCACTCACCTGTTCTCTTACTTTACCTTCTAATGCTCTTATTGAACACGGAAAAAGAGGAAGGACGGGATAACTTTGCCCTAGATAACTTCCTTCTCATCTACAATTTCTTGCCTGATCTTGGCAAACTCCAGTTGGAAGAAACAAATAGCATGGGCCTATGATCAGGAAGCAAGACATCAAAATGGCCAAGACTTCAGTTCTTGGTAGCAAATAGTAGATAGGAGGAATGGTGTCTTTCTACAAGGGTCCCCACTTGCCAAGTGAGTAGATGATGAACTGACGTATTAGTACTGGGTTGACACAATGAGTTAATGCATCAAGGCGTAGGACATCTACAGCTGGTGACATCACAATGAGGGGGGGACTCAGAAACCACATGGCTGCTGAGGAGAAAACACAGCTGCTGTCTAGAGTCCCGGGAAACACACACAGCCTAGGCAACCCTCCAGTGCTGCCACCCCAGTTCAGGAAGGAGGGCAGGCAGGGCTCTTCTTTAGCTGCAGTAGGGGCGTGCAACCAGCAAATCCAAACTGTGTGCACTCGGCGGGGCACACGTCTGGGTTTTCAACAGCGAACTGTAAAGAAAAACAAACGATGGAGAGGGGAACCACAAGTTTGAAGCTAATTAGATGACAGGTTCTCGACACACAGGCGAGCTTGAGCTGGAATGTGACGGTAAAGACAAGGCAGACAGTGACAACCGTGAGACTCGCTTTTCCTCTGGGAAGAAAGGGGAAGGTTGAAATAAGACAGGACCTAAGGGGAGTGGGGGAGGGGTCTGAGTCTTTGCCAGAGCTCCCTTACTTGTAGTCACAAGGATACTTACTTTCTCTCAGCCCACAGACTGATATAAACAAAAATGATCAGTACAGGGTTAGAGCTTGCAGCAAAGGATGTCTGATCAGTGTGACTAGATGTTGAGCATGCCATCTTTTCCTGTAAATGGTCATGACTTAATACCCAGTTTCCAGGAACTTTACAGCTCGGCAATCCTGTGCAGTTCACAGGCCCCGTCTTTAGGCAGGATTTAACAACTCTTGCTGCAGACTTTGAAAATGAGCTACCATAGACTTTAAAAACAGATCTTTATTAAACCTTGCCTACAGTCAGGGACCTGGTAAGCAGAGAACGTATAGAGAATTTAGGCTCTGGACTGGCCATTCTGTGCTAAGTAAGCATCCCTGGATTTGTGACATGATCGCCCTCTAGTGACCATTTCAAAGTAAGCTCGATGTTCATGATTAAACTGTAAAAGTTTACTGATCAAAGCTACCAGATTTGAATTTGATGAGTATCTAAGGGTCTACCTTGTTCAACAATCTGAAAAGACTGCCTTTAAAGGGAACAGAACATAAGATCCAATCCTTACCTCATTCAATAAAGATCTACAGCACAATGCGTGTTCATCACGTAATCTTTTCATCACCCTTGGCTGTGAAACGCTGAAAGTTACATTTCGACAAATCAAAAGTGACACATTCTCCTTACGTCAAAACAGAGAGAAATTATCCATGAGACATGAGATGATATCTATTCACCACCTAACTAAAATATACGGATAAAAGGTTAAACCTTGGTGGGGTGGTAAAGGGAGAGAGAGAAAGGAAAGATGTGTGAGAGAAAGGATTGCCTCAGACATCTGTGAATAATGCCAGTCTGTCAAAGTGTAAGTCTATTAAGGGAAGGAGAAAAAGAGGCCCGCATCTCTGGAATTGAAGATGTTCGTGAGAGTCAGTGAAGCCTGTAATATGAGCAACAGGGAGACTAAGAGGAAGGGTATGAGTCTTCATTGGCAAAGGCAAACACAGACCTCTGTGTCTGTAAACACCTGCGTGTATGAATGTGAGCAGGGAAAGGAACAGGTGGTACTTCAGAGTCTTCTAAAGACTCCAAGAGAGGCAGGGAGAAAGAGGAAGGGGGGTTAATGAGATGTTTATGCATTTTATGTTATGGTTGAAAATATTTTAAGAATCTGAATACAATATTTGTTTTACTCTGAGCAGATAGAGTAAGTGACTGGAGATTAAGTGGCTTAAACAGTAGATATTTAGATTCCACAGACCCGGGGTCTGGAAGCTTGAGGTCAGGTTCCAGCATAGCTCAGGCATGGAATCTTCTCGACCACGGAAGGCCAATTTCCTTTTGTATCTCATATGCCAGAATGAGAGGGAGATTTCTCTGAGATCCTGGATGTTGGGTACTGATCCAATTTTTAAAGATGCTGTTCTTATGACCTAGTCACCTCATAAGGGACCTGCTTCCCAATACCATCACAATGGGGTGAGGAATTAAGCTTATGGCTTTGAGAGAATATAAACACTGGGTTCTTATCACCCTTCCTTCATAAATAAAGGAGCCACTGAGGACCAAACCTTTACCTCCCCTGCCTAAGTCTTTCCACCTCACTTTGTCCCCAATACAATGCCAGTTTCCTGGTGTCCTGGCTTCCCCAGGAAACAGAGAGTCCTAGCACATCTTGTCCATGACATCGTTAATCTAGTCAGCTCCTCATGAATATTATATCCACAAAACTTTCATAGTCTCTAGATTGATAAGTACTTTTGAGGCTTATTTTATCCCAGTCCTTATTAATCATTTATTTGTATCATCCACTTTTCAGACAAAAAAAGGTAAGATTTGAATAACTACTCAGAATAAGGCATGGAATCTTTAGGGTGCCGAGTCAGTTTTATAACACATGTCTAATTAACTCTATGACCTCAGGCCAATGGTATAACCTGCTGCTGGACTCATGAAGGGGACAGAGAGCCTCTACAGCCTTCCCTCAAACCAGCCAGAACCCACCTGTCCTCAGAGGCTTGAATTGCTCTTTGTTATCTTGTGCTGTCCCTTTGCACTTCTAACATTTTGATCAATGACACCGTGTTAGTAAATTCAGGCTGCAATCACACAGTACCTTAGGCTGTGAGACATAAACAACAGACCTGTCTTCCTCCGTTCTCTGATGTCAAGATCTAAATGTCATTTCTTTAAACTCTGAGACTGATGTAGGGGAGGCAAGAAGGTCAAGGAGGAATACAGCAGGGTGTAATGAACAGGAGCACATGACATGCCTGTAATGCCAGGACCCTCACGCTCTTCAGGAAGCGTAGGAAGAGCCTTGAGTTGGGAAGGTCTCTGGAAGTGGTATCATGTGAGCTGAGATCAGCATACTGGAGAAGGGATGACTTACTGAGGAAGACAGAGAAGGACTATGTCTGAAACCAAGTTCTAGAAGTACATAGTAACTGGAAGCATGGCCCAGCTGGGTGAATGATACCAGGAAAAGACTAGGAAAAGAGGCTCGTATGGACTGCATGAGGACATATCCTTCAGGAATTATTTGGGTTGCAGGGGGCATGAAACCAACCACAGCAAAGATCTGCTGATGCCATAGTTACAGACTGTAGTTGAAGAATAAAGTAAAGCCTTAGATTCCAAGCTGACATGTTTGCCTTTTATCCTCATTAGCAAGAAGTATCTAACAGATCTCAGCCTCTTCTTAGGCTAACAGTATAGCCTTAGCTTTAACTCCATTGGTCAGTAAGAAAGTATATGCTCAGAAATTGTCTCATCACCCATTTAATTAAACTCATTGATTTTTTAAAAATGTCTGTGAAGATAATGGGGCTTATACTATTTTAGAAGCAATGAATAAATCAGCAGGAAAAGAAGGGAACTGGACAAAAGACTGAATAGTGAGTCATTTTTAGATGAAGTTGAGTCAACTTAAAAAATGATGAAGGGCTTTCTCAGTGTGTGTGCTGGACATGATGCTGGCAGTGTCATGCACAGAAATGAACATGTTTGTCATGGCTCTTCTGGAGCAAGGTCCCTGGTTTTGAATTCCAGAGCAACCTGAGCTAGAACATAAACAAAAATATAGAGCAACAAAACAACCAACCAAAACCCAAAATAATAGCAAAACCCAATAGATACTGTAAGACTTAGAGCATCATTAATGTTTTCCAAAATTGGTCCATGTTTAATTTTATAATTCTCTACATCGAGAATGCTGCCTTCATTTGCGTAAATACATAGTACAAAACAGGAGAAGTATATTTAGGACTTTCAGAAACTGGGAATCCTAATCTCAAGATGAATTTCATCGAACAAGTTTTCATGAAATGCAAGTCAGCCATTCAAACAGTAATAAAAACCAAATTCTAACACAGCACAATCTGAACATACACTAATTTGATACATTCTGAAGAAAGATGGAAAATATTGTCTTTATTTCCTATTATTAAATCATTCTGCTTCTATAAGAGATGAAAACTTGTATATACAGCGAAAGCACTGTACCTCATAACAGACAGTATTCCGGGACCTGAGCCGAGGTGTTTCATGCAGCATTTGATGTACACAATGTGCACTGTAGAATGTATACATCATGTGTTCAGAACCAAAGCTGCAGTGAAGTCACACAATGCAACATTTGCAAGTGTCAGAAACACCTCAGATTCATTATGTGCTTTATTTTGAATTACATTTTGGCCACTGTATGTTCAGAAACCTTTGATTTTTTTTTTTTTTACATTATTTTACAGCTCTCATGCATGGTTGGTCTCAGGACCCAGAGTTTTAGAAGCTATGATCTAAATCAAGTAAAGTAGACTTTGAGAGTGGAAAGTTTAAAAAGGTTGTTTTTAATATTCAGATGTGTATGTGTTTTTTCTTAGGTCAATGTGAGCCAATCACTCTGGAACTCTGCATGAATTTGCCCTACAACCATACACATTATCCAAATTACCTTGGCCACGGGACTCAAAAGGAAGCGTCTATCAGCTGGGAGTCATCTCTCTTCCCTGCACTTGTTCAAACCAACTGTTACAAATACCTCATGTTTTTTGCTTGCACCATTTTGGTTCCAAAGTGTGATGTGAAAACAGGCCAACGCATCCCCCCTTGCAGGTAAAATAATGGACTATCTACATGCTATCTCAGAGAGAACCAAAAGAATACAAAGTTGAGTTTAGGCTAAATAAATATTGTCAAGGACTCTGAAAGTTAACAAATTCAAAAGATAAAGAAGTCAGAAGAAAATGAGTATTTGAGTAAGAATTCATCCTTCAAGCACCAAACATGGAAGGTGTTAACTTCCTTCTATGACAGGTCACGTGCTTTTATCTGTGTTCTGATTTGGTGGATCACAAAGTATCCTCATGAATGTAAGTTAATGTTGGGGTTCTGCTCAGTAGTAGAGCATCCTTTAGAATATATGAGGCCCTGGGTTGGATCACTAGCACCCTAAAGCAAAGCAAAGCAAAACAGAGTGTGAGGGAGCTAAGGAAGGAGCTGT